GGTACTTTTCAGTCTTCAACCTCACACAGATACTAGAGCTAAACAATTATCAGCATGGAAAAGTTTAATACTAGAATATTATCGTGTCACAAAACAAGCTATTGTAGATATAAGAGAGGTGGATTCATGTCCATTATTTAATAATACTGCAATTAATCGTATCCTTTAAATAATAACAATCATTGAATAAAGTTTTATTTATTTAGAAATTTGTTCCTTAATATATCTAATAGGAAAGTTACCATCAGAGGTTGTCCTATTAGTTTTAGAAGAATTAGCAAAATCAGGAAATGCAAATCCATTAGATAAATCAAGGCAAAGATGGTTAGTTTATTGGCATACTTTAGAAGAATGGGGTGAAATTATTTATAATTGGGCACAGGAGAATGGATTTACTGGTTCTGTATGTACTTTGTTTGAATTAACACAAGGAGAAGACACAACAGAACAGGGTATGGATTTTTATAAACAAAAATCAAGCAAAGCTATATCATTAAATAAGTGCTTTGTATTTTTAGAATTCCATGGACTTGATACAGAAGTATTGATCAGAGCACTTAGAACACTAGAAGCAAACAAAAAGGCAGAACTTATTTTATTTGATGATAATCAAGGTGTTAAGTTCTTCTAGATACACAATTGTACAAAAGAACTATCTAGAAAATGTAAATACAATTCGTTTTTATCAAGGAATATGTTTACAATTAAAGAAGCATACTTTGTGTATTTTTAAAGATATAATTAAATAACAAATTTCAAAAGAATTCATACATTGCAGTACATGTAGATTTTAATTACAAAAGGAATTTAAAAAGTACATTTTTAAATATGTTTACAACACATTATTTCTTAAAATTATGTTAATAACATCGGTATAATAAATACTATATATGTACAGAAATGAAATATGAAGAAACGGTATTGAATATAATTTTTATATCTGTTGTATTCAATAAATATATGGAATGTTTTAATGTTACGGATTATGTAATATCTTGATTTCACGCAAAAGAGTAATTGCAATAAAATATTTTTACGAATAAAAAACAAAAACAATGTATTTCATACATTTATGAAAATTAAAGCGATTCAAAATTAAAAATTTTAAAGTACGTTAGTGCTCAATCATTTTTTGTAAGTATCTAAATAAGTATTCTCCTAATTACAATATTTAATAATTACATCATTATGTATAGATTGCCGTATAAAATAAAATTTGAGTCAGCATGAGTATACATTAGTACAAATTATTGACTATAAAGTATACAAAAAAATATTATGAACACCGTAAAATTGCATTCATATAATATCATGGCAACATTATAACAAGAAAACGAATAAATTATGCTTCCGCTTTCCTCACTCTTGCTAGTTCTATTGTTTCTTCTGGAATGTTTGCACTTGCTTCAAGATCTTTTTTGCTCATATGTTCAACGACGTAAGCCCCGAGTGCATCGCACAGAACATTTACCGTTGTTCGGAAACGATCCCTATGAGTGAATTCAGCAATTATTTCGATTCAGTTAGAGGTCATTTTAAAAATGAGATACTTACAAAAGCCAATCTACCGCAATGATAAGTGTTACATCTTCAGCAGGTAGACCTACAGTATCTAGTACCATGACCATTGTAACAAGACCAGCTTGTGGGATGCCAGCAGCTCCTATACTCGCTGCAGTTGCCGTTATACTAGAACAATAAATTAGAATATTAATATTATATTGATTTCAGTATTATGTCTGATGAATTATTTAGTTCAATAGCTACCTAACACCAATGACATTGCCGAGAGACAGCGGAACATTTCTAACTTGAGCTATAAAAATTGCAGCAACAGCTTCATACAATGCAGTACCATCCATATTAATGGTAGCACCAATCGGGACAACGAATCTTGTAATTCTCGGATCGACACCCATATTATCTAAACATTGTATTGTTACTGGCAATGTAGCCGTGCTATATTCATAAGAATAAGTTTCTCGTAAATTTCAAGTATCCTGTAGGGCTTTTTGCAGAATCGATGCAAAATCGTTCAAATTACCTTGATGAAGTACCGAATGCTGTGGCCAAAACTTGACCCATCTTTCCTAGCATTTTAAATGGTAATTCTCTGGTACAAATAAAGAATATAATCGAAAGGGTTCCAAAACCATGAATAATCAAACCTAGTAATACTGTAACGAAATATAAACCTAATTGTCCAACAATAGCACCAACATCCTCAATTTCTAAGAGCTTTGAAGTAACAAGAAATAGCACCCCAATTGGAGATACCCTGAGGAGTAAATAAAACATTTAAATAAATTTTGTGTGACAACTAATGAAAAAAAAATAATGTATTGCATAATATTTTACCATATAACCCATTTGGTAATAAGCATTGTTGCTTCAGATAAGGTGTCAAAGAAAGTTAAAAGGGGTTTTCCAAGATCACCCATTTTACTGAGAGCTATTCCAAATACAATTCCAAACACAACCATACCCAGAGTATTTGTACCATCCCCATATTCATGACTTATGTTCCAGTCTTGTATACTTACTAAAATCAAAAATATTAAATTACTTATTATTTATAT